TTAGCAAGAAGCCTGCCACGGCCATACAGTTTGTAAGCAATATAAGTCTCTGTGTTTACTTGGTTGGGTCTGAGCGGCTGTGGGACTGGTGGGTGACAGAGATTTGTCCTGTATGTGGGCAAGGCAAGAAAACTCTAACTATCATCGACCTCGCAATCTTCTCCACAAATGTGGGGGAACCAGAGATCTTTTTTTTAAGTCCTGGGGATGTGAAACTATGGGCAATGCCTACTGGCACCCCTCTTCTTCTTGGGATTTTATTATTGTTACCAGTAATTATTCCATTGGGCATATTAATACTCATCATGACACCCCTGATTGTTCCTCCTGGTGTCACCCCCTAAAAGTTACTTTCACCGAGGCTGGGAAGGCTCATTTGGCCTGGGAGGTGGGGCCTTCGACTATTTCAGGAGGGAAGAGATACAGACATCACCTCTATCATCAAGCTTTTAAAGCAGCCTGTCAATTCCCCTAACCCTGTTGCCATTGGTCCCAACTCTCCTCTCAGCAACAATGATTTTCCTACACCCAATATATCTCGGACATCCACGGCTTTTTCTCCCACGTTCCCACCTCCCCCACCAACTACCAAAGATATAATTACCACCCTTATCACAAAAACCTACCAGGTACTTAATACCTCCAAGCCTGATTTGGTTGACTGCTGCTGGCTTTGTTATCATTCTGCCGCCCCATTTTATGAAGGAGTGGCTGTTGATTTAGATTTCTCCCTAACCACTGACCCACATGATTGTTGCTGGCAACAGCCACCCACATCTCGCCTTACACTGTCCCAAGTTATAGGCTCAGGCTGCTCCCTTGTCACCCAAGGCACTACCATTCTCCCCCAACTCCTTTGTAATATCACAGATAACCTTAATACCTCCCTTAAGTCTGGATATCTTCTCCCTGCCAATGATACTTGGTGGGCCTGTACTGATGGCCTAACACCATGCATTTCTCTTCATTTAAATAATCCCTCTGCCCCCTTATTCTGTATATTGGTTCAACTTATCCCTAGGCTAACCTATTATTCCCCAGATCAATTCTCGGGAAGATGGGAAGAAAAGACTCTGGTAGAGATGGCTGCCCTCATGCCCCACCTCCCCAGCACTTGAAAAGGGAATCCATGACCGCAGTCACTCTGGCTGTCCTCCTGGGGGTCGAGGCTGCAGGAGCCAGTACAGACATAGCTTCCCTGGTTTTATCTAATCAACATTATTCAGAGCTTAGAATTTCCATAGATGAAGATACAGCACAGCTTAAGTGAGGCATTTCCGCCCTTGAATCCTCCCTCACCTCCCTTTCAGAGGTGGTCCTCCAAAACCACCGAGGGCTCGACCTCCTCTTTTTACAGCAAGGAGGTCTGTGCTGCTCTTAAGGAAGAGTGCTGCTTTTATACTGATCACACAGGAGTAGCAAGGGATAGCATGGCCAAGGTCCGTGAAGGCTTAGAGAAGCGTAAAAAAGAAAGAGATCAAGAGCTAGGCTGGTTCCAAAATTGGTTCTCTGCATCTCCCTGGTTAACCACCCTCTTGCCATCTCTTCTGGGTCCCTTGGTTGGCTTCATTCTTGTCTTGACATTCGGGCCTTGGGCCTTATCTCAATTAAGTCAATTTGTGTGCAGTCAGCTGGCCGAACTTCAGGCAAGACAGATTCAGGTTCATTACCATTGCCTTGATCTCCATGATCATGGTCTCGATGAACCAGATAAAGACTCCATATCAGCACAGGCCCTTCTGCTCAGGGGAGGATGCACCTGTGCCTGGGAGCTGGAGACCACTGCACAGGGGATTGAAGGTGCAG